ATGTATGAGGAAGAGGGGCCCTGGGGCTGGCCTGGATTTACTGTGGACGGCGGGTTAGAGGATGGGGGAGGTGGAATCCGGTCGGTCGGTGTGGTGTGTGCAGCATGGGGTGACGGGGCGGCGTAGTCTTGAGGGAGGGGGTAGTAGCCCTGGGGCGGGGCGGATGTCGCCGCAGGCGGAAAAGTGGGGAAAGTCGTGGATGGTGGGTGTGGGGGGAGTGTGGCGGGATACGGGTATGGAAGCGGCAGTGAGGGCGTTGTTGTCCAGTGGGCTTGAGGCGGGGGATAGGAAGTGGTGGGGTGGATGGGGGAGGCAGGGGTTGACGGGGGCTGGGGTTGGAAGGCATGCGTTGGGGCGGGCTGGTGGTGGCGTTGGCGGTCGGAGCGAAATTTAGCCATGCATTCGGACGTGTTGTGGGTGTTCATACCGTGATATGTACACCATTTGCCTTTCCAGCCGTCTGGACGACGAGCGTTTCGGTCACCGCGGGGGGCGGGGCGGTTGTTACGGTCTTGGGAGCGGTTCTGCCAAGTGGCTGATGCGGATCGGTTGGACTGGGCGAGATTGTTGTAAAGGGTCGAGGTACGTTGGATGAGGTGATCAGCATGGATTAGTTGGGTTTCGACTTGTTCGATGGACGTGAAGGTGCCTAGTCTCATGTGGAGATCCATGTAGGTTTGGTGGAAGTCGGGATTGTGGATCAGGCCATCAATGAGAAATTCAGCATACGTGGAAGGGTCCTGGATTCCGGGGTAGTTACTCGCGAGCATGCGCGAGCGGATCTCACGATGCTGGCCAATGTAGTTGTGAATGGAGACACCGGGGCGAAGGAGGGTTTGTTTGGCCAGAGCGGAGAGAAGATAGGGAGCGTTGGTGGGGTTGGTGGAAGTAAGGGTGAGGAGGCGTGTTTATAACCCAAAGGGCGAGAGGCGAAGGTCCTCTTTGCTGAGGCGGATTCGGATGTCGTTAGAGCAGCTGTTGAGGATGAGAGCCTTGGCGTAAGCAAAGAGCTTGTTGTGTTTGAGGAGGACGTCCGCTTGGGTGGGGGCGGGAGGATCAGCTGTAAGGAAGTGGGCACAGTCATTAAGGGAACAGAGGAGGTTGAGATTTTCGAACCATAGGTCGTAGTTGTCAAATGTGAGCGGGACTACGGACAGTCGGGCAGGATCGGTGGAGGAGTTTGGGGCCGCGGTGGATGCCGCGGTTGGGAGAGGGTTCATAGCTGGGGATTCAAGAAGGACTTGAGCGAAAAGGTCTTCAGGGAGGGTGCGAAGTTCGTCCTCGCGATCAGCAACAAGGCGAAGTTGGGCTCGGCGCTGGGCGCGGTCGGAACGGGAGGAAGGAGGATCGATGGTGGGGGAAGTATCGGCGAATCGCCGGAGGGTGACGGCAAGGTGCCGGTTGAGGAGATCGGCGAGGCGCCGGCGTAGAGCGAGAAGAGAAAGGCGAGGGAGTTTAGCGTAAAGGGTCCATAACCTGTGATCAAGGGCGATGATGCCCACTCAGTTTACTGGAGGGGGCGACGACGGGCTTAAGTACTGTGGTGTGGTGTGGCTAAACGTGTCCAGGTGGCTATCGTACAGCATGCCCACATGTTCGAACACGTGACCATACATTCGAACATTGGCAAAATCTGCCAAAAGTAAATAAATTATGGGAGATTTCACGATCAGTTGGCGAAAGGGGAAAAAAGTGTTGAATCGTTGAGTCAGTAGGCGACATCGCTTTTCTGACACTCCGAGTACGGGAATTATGTCAAAACTGTCTAATCAGTAGCCGAAATACGAAATTGGACACAATCAGTGGGGTTTTTCCTCAAAAACCCAATGGGAATTCTTCGAATAGGTTTCTGACAAGTGGCAAAGTGAGCCGAAGGCACCGTGGCAGCCCACGGAGGAGGCTACAGTGGTTACCCGGTTCAACATCTCCACCCATGCCACCTAAAACGTAAAACGATTTTTTTTGGGGGCCACCTGGTGTTTTTAATCTCCACCGGCACGGACCAAACCCACTGGGTGGCGGGGTGCGCTCCCAAATGTTTTGTTTGGTCCAATTCCAGACCTAAAATGGAAAACTTTGGGCTACCATGACACCCAAACCTAACCGTTGGGGGCTATTTCTTGCTTCAATAAAACAAATTTAAAATAGGTCGACATCAGCCGACTTTGTCGACTTCGTGGATCACGAGTTCTGTGTCCGATCACTGCAAGTAGAAAACTTTCGAGAGAAGCTGCAGCACTGCGCTCGCTATACTTTATTTCTTTCGCCGACGTTCTCGACAGACGGCATCGAAACTCAAGACTCATCCCCTCGGCGCATGAACCCACAATCTTTCCCATCTTTTATTGGAATAAAGCTCGAATACACCTCTTGAGACACAACATGTCCACCCGTTCACCTGCGAATGCTAAGGGAAAGGGTCTATCGTGGTCGGATGAGGAGCTTTGGCCCTTTGTAAGGCAGCTTTCGTGGCCGGAGGCTCGCCTATTTACGGCGCAGGGATGAAGTCAGCGGTATACAGCAAGAAAATAAGGGAGGAGTTCCTGAAGGACAATAATAGGCCGCCGCTTGCCTGCTCCGGTTGTCGAAATGGAGGACCGCTGGATAAACGTCGTTGGAACGTGCGTACGCGAGAGTCTTGTTTAAAGATGTGGAGCAAAGTTAGATCACTCTGTACTGCTTACCATGACGCCGTGAAAAGAATCAACTCTATGAGCCTGACTGGGGCGCCAGGAACGGCTGAGGTCGAGAGATGTGTGGTTGCTGTTTATAACGACAGAGATCTCACGTCTCATGTGTATGACATTATCCGTAACCCAAAATACAGAATCGGCAGACCGTTCCCATACAAGAGTTGTTATGACTTTTTATCCTCCCACACCAGTATGTTGGAAAGTAGAGGCGTTACGGAGTATAGAGATGTTGGAACGCCTGCAAATCAGAGTCCAGGAGATGGGGAGGCGGATGAGTCCGGCATTCAAACGGATTCTTGTATTGATACAGCTGCTGTCGAGAGGCTTGAAAAACGTCCTATTGGGAGGAAGGCCGCTAAGAGGATCAAGCAAAAGGAAGCGAATGGGAAACGTTCCCTGGAATCAAGTGCAAGTAGGATGGCACAGTCCGTAGAAAACTTCAATGAAATTTACAGTGCCGCCCAGGAGCGCAAAGCGACAACCAAGGAGCGCGAACTGTTAATTGCAAAGAGGAGGTTGGACTGGAATATGGCTGAATCTCTACTTTTTGCGAAGGATTCTGATGCAACTGACGAGGAACGGATGATGGGTAAGCGACTGCTGCGCAAACGGCTTTTAATGTCAATTAATGAAGCAGATAATGAGGGATATAATGCCCAGGGCATAGCAGGAACCTGCAGTAATAAGCTCCGTGGCTCGTCATCTCGAGATGCCTCTCGTGATATACCTCCCAATCGTGATGTCAATGAGCAGCGGTCAGAGGCAGCGAGTCCCGATAATATCGAGACGTCAGCCCCGGCGTCAGCCCCAACCATAAATGGACAAACTTCAGATCATGAAGCTGGGCCCGCAGAGAGGTCAGGCCAGACTACCAAAAGGGCGAGGGTGGAAAGCAATGGAAAGAGTATGACTGACGACGAAGATTCTGAGGCTGAATTCCCCAACCATGTTGGCCCACGTGGTCTTAGCCTTTCTGACATGCTCACCCAACCGCCTCGGGAGTACGATAGTGAGATTGTGTAGGCGGAATAATGAGACATGTGCGCAGTACTTTACCTAGACGGGCGATTGAGAAATTACAACATACGTCAGAGTGCAGCAACTAATTCACTGACTTGAATCACTTTCGTCTCCATCTTGATTCCATATGTGCTCAGCGAGCGCATTCTTCAGTTTCACATGCTCTGTAGTTTTCTCAATGGGATCAATGTATTTGCGCCAGAACGTTGCCTGCTCATAAGTTCCTTCTCCTGTTGATACAATTTGAATATCACTTGGAAGAGTAGTCTCCTCATCTGTAAACCTCAAAGCTGCCGTTCCGTTGTACGTATGAAGTCTACTCTTGACAATGTTATTGTGTAAAATACAGCACGCTCTCACGATCGAGTTCATATCTTCTTTGTACCAAAGTCTTGAGGGTTGGTACAGTAATCGAAAGCGTTGAAAAAGAACCCCGAAAACTCTTTCGACTGCCTTACGTGTTCCCTCCTGGTATGAAGAATATAGCTTCTCCTTCTTCGTGACTGGCTCACTTATTGATGACATAAGGATTCTATACTGCGGGTAAATCCCATCTGTAAAGTAATAATACCAATCCAGTTTCATCCCAGCTACCTCTGTCTCGGGTCTGATCGGGGGCCATGCCCCTGTCCTGATAGAGTTGAACAATGGACTTTGGTGCATAATGTTGATATCATTTTTAGAACCCGGACTCCCAAACATGACATGCCAAATATACAAACGGTCATCACATATTACCTCCATCCGACAGACCGGTTTCTTATCTTTTCCCTTGTACATTCCTTGCCATCCGACCGGACACTTGTCCCATTCCCAGGAGGCGCAGTCGAGACAGTCAAGACATCCTGGGAATCCCAGTGTCTTGTAAGCAGCCTCAATCTCCTGAATCTCATGCTCATCCGGTGACCGCAACCATTCTGCATCATATGTATCAACTATAGCCTCGCAGAAACGCTTAAGGCATACAGCGTTGCTGGACTCCATTAGCCCGACTATTTCAGTCACAGCGTCTGCGGATATTCCACACGTAAGCTGTCGAAGCGCTGACATGATCTTTTGGTCTAAGGTAGCTCCCAACCTGCCAGTGGCATCTCGGCTTTGAACGAAGTAGTCGTCTGCTTGCAAGACCGCATCTCTAACTTCTTCGTACACGGCTCGTGACATTCTAAAGCGGCGTTAAAATTCCGCATCTGAAAAAAAAGGCACGCCTTGTGTGAATCTACAAAAGTAGTTTCGGTCGATTTGAACTGCTATGCGGTGTCGAAGCTCATTTCTGTTTGGAGCTTTTCCGGGCAGGGATCCACCATGTTTTCGTTCCTGCGATCGTGCGAGAAGTTGATTAGCGATCGCTGCAGACGTCGCGACTGCCCTGGCGATAAAGACTTCCTCCTCACTCCCCGACGACGACATTTGAGTCTAGCTTCAACACGGAGCTGAAATTGCACTGCGGTAGCGCGATCAGAAATACCGACCTCTCTCTTTGGGTTGTTTGACACAACAACACGTGTGAGGTGTACCACACGTGTTGGTACTATTCTGGCGATGCAAGCATCGCGTGTTCCTAAATGAGCAATCACCAGTGGAGCAGAAAACGTTTGGGAATCGCCCCAAAAAATTGAATTTAGGCTGACCAGTAAACGTAAAACATGTGGCAGGCGATTTTAGGATTTAGGCTCCGCCGGTGGAGATGCTCTAAGGGGTTTCTAGTGGAATTAGTGACCGAGATAGAAGAGTACTTAGACGAGTTGTCTTCGCTGTCACTTGACGTTTGACTCCGAGGTAGAGTTCCTTGTTTAGTTTTCACGCAACGCACCTCACCATGGAAACCATCCTAAATGCAGTGACCCCAGAGACTCTCCTCGCAAATTCCTACTCTGTGAGATGGCGGGAGGTATTTGCACCGTGGTGCGTGGCCGCAGTTCCCAGCGGAATAGTGCTGCTGATCTCCCGTTTGAGAGATGCGGAGGAGGGATTTGGTCCACTGCCGTCCGGATGGAATTCAGATCATGGACCTCCGGTTTCCCGCCTCGTCAAGTGGCTACGAAAAGCCTACCGTAATGGAGACACGCCCAAATTGCTCCTGGTACGAGCGCATTTCTCGAGTCTGGGAAAGTCGCGAGACTGACTCCAAAGGCGCTGAGTCCGTAGGGAGGTTTTTATCTCTGGATAGTGACATACATAGTGCCCAAGAAGTGGAATTGTGCCAGGCTTTAGACTCTGCAGGGGTCAGGATTGATGGTTCCGTTGACACCTTTTGGTCAGAATTGGCGGACGAGCAAGAACTACAGGAACGGATTCTACAGCTGTGGCGTTTGGGATTTAGTGCATGCACCTTCGCTGGCTTTGAGGAACGCTTCGCTTGCTTCTCTCTCGCGGAACGACTACATTCCTTTAGAAAAGAATTTGTCACCTCTGCCTGTCGCCGACTGAACGTAGAAGATTGCATGGGAATTTGTCGTCTAGTCGCAGTCCCGGAGGATTGTTATCTCGGTTTCCCTTTCGGCGTTGTACGTCAACTGCTATTTGAGCTCCATTCTTCCCTTCCCGCCGTCATTCACTCCCCCACATTCGCGTTGCAAACGCAAGCTGCTGGTGAAGCAGCTGCTGTTGAAGGCGTGTGTGAGGGTGCTGGAGAGCTGGCACTAGGACGGACGGAAAATGACGCCTTGCGTAACCACCGTCGCGAGACCGGTCACCCATCGCCTGGGGGCGCCGCGCCTGCTGTCCCACCAGGCGCTGTCTCAGGACAGGCGCGTCAGGATTATATGGCTTCGAGGCTCCGTGTTGCGGAGCGAGCGGTGGAGATCGGGTCGGATATGGAGGCAGTGGAGGCGGATCCAGAGATCGGTGCAGACGGTGACGGATTCATGGGGGTCGCTATCGGACAGCCGCTCATTCGCCCTACAGGCCTTTCGGTGGTTGAGATTGAAGAGTATGACTCGCTGGTCGCGCGTCTGCCCCGAACGTGGCAGAAGCATGTCAATACTGGATTACCGTTCACTCGTGTGGTGTCGCAGCATCGCCTAAAAATCAAGACAAAAGAAGAATTAATTGATTATTTTAGAGGTTTTTTAATCAGGAGCAATTGGTCATACGTCAGCTTCTAATTGGAAAGCACAAGGACCCGGACTCACCCCTGATCATTTCGGATTGTAAGGCGGCGTATGAAATGCAATACAGCCACAAGGATCGCCCCGTCACGTCTGCTTTTGCACCTCATGAGAGGGTCACGGGTCCGCAGATATTGCACTGGACCAGGAACGGGGGTGACTTACAGGACCGTGTAAATCGTGCTCTGGCCAGATTGTCAGATGATTCCGGTGATACCCCTCTAAAGAGTGAGATCACCAGCACCGGGCAACATCTGATAATTGCCATCGACTCCCTGCATCCTGCTCTCGCCGTCCGCAGTGATGCCGTGGAGAGCCTCGTCCAGCGACTAACTGTACTGTTTAATGTCGCAGAGGACTACAAACGGGACAAAAGACCTCAAGCTTGGGAAGGGACTGACTTGTTCCTTGGTACTTTCGGCGAGAGCAGCGCTGCCGGATACAAGCTCCTTCGAAAATCGAAGACAGATTCGAAGAAGGACACCAGCTCCAAGTAAGAGTTAAACTACCGCTAGCCCTTCACTGGCCTGCTTCTGTCTTCCTCCCCCCTTCTTTATCACTCTCTTTCTATCTCTATGCTATTTTCTATCATATCTCCATTTCTTTTGTTTTCACCGTCGCCCCGCCTCGACCGACCGTTCTGTTCTCTTTTTCATTCTTTGTGTAGATCTCATTAGAAGAGGGTATCCCAATCGAGATTTTTATCCCTCTTCTGCTTCATTGAGGTGAAGGTGAAAAAAATTCTGGCAAAACGTTTAAAAAAAAGACACGACACCACAACCGCACCACCGAACATGTCCTCGAACATTCTTCGTCCTCAGGCACCCGAGGTGCTGGACGAACTGCTACGTTCCGTCGAGTGGTTGCGGAGCGGCATCGGAACGGTGCCTCGCGGGGTGGACATCACATCCATCCCTCCCCGTGCGAGGACCGAACTGTCGCAGGCCGTCACTTCTTTCGTACGTCTGAGAGATGCTGCCGTACCTGAAGATGATGACGTGCCATCCCGGCTTCCTATGTATGGTCCGAGCAGTGCGCGTGCTGAGAAGCTCACTTCTACTCGCGCCGCTCTGCCGGATCCTGGGGAGGCCGCTACTGCAGATTTAATGCAGCTCCTTCCCTTGGAGGAAAGGAATCTATTGCTCGAAGGGAACTTTCTTTGCGACCCTCAACCGTCCACGGAGTCTTTGGGACGGTTGCCTGTCCTATGTGTAGCATAAACACCCCCAGCGATAAGGGTGCATGCACAGTTCGACCGAGACCCTTGTCGATCGGGAAGACGGGGGTGAAGCGGGACACCAGCTAACGGCACCGGGCAGCGGGCCCGGGTAGCGCGGTAGAGCGGGAACGGGGAGGACGCCGGTACGCGCGAGCGGTTCGACGCCTCGACGCCCCGGCGCGGTACTGGGTTACGATCCAGTACCGACGGCTGGAGGCGGAGCCGGCTCGTGGGCGTACCGCCCGCGTCCTCAACCCGCGCTCGGTGCCGTTCTAAGGTAGATAGCGAACGCTACTCTAGAATAAGCGGGATGTCGGACCTTGACGGTCGGTGGGTGACAAGTCCCTCCTTGTCCTCCTCCACCGCCGCCGGTCCGCTCCATATTTAATATACAAAACAACCTATAACACTACAGTACCGAAGTACTGTAGTGGTCTACTGTAGCACGGATCGGACCGTACTGTAATACTGTCAGCCATCGTGGCTGACAGTACACGTGTGTGCGTGCGCTTCCGTCCCGCGCGGTACACGTGTACCCGTGTGCACGCGTGCGCCCTGTACCCGAGGGGTACACGTGGCCACGCGCGGTAGTACTGTAGAGCATCGGGCTCTATAGCACTAGATCCGTTGTTGATCTAATCTAACTAAAAAGCCCCAGGGGGGGTTATACTACACTATGCAACGTCCAGAAGGGGGAATACGTCCCTCTCCTTCGCCGAATGAAAGCGGTGGGGATGATCTGCATGTTTCCGCCTGGCCATGGGGTAGTAGAGAACGGGATTTTTGGTCTCTCCAAGACGCTCGACACGAACAGCCCACAGCGTCTCATTTGGGACGGGCGGCGTTCTAACCTCTGCTTCAATCACGAGCTTGCTACTGTTGTGCTTCCCTCTCCTGACATGCTGGGAGAAGTCTACCTCGCTTCGCTGGACCCGCTCTTCGCCTCTACATCGGACGTCAGTCAAATGTACAACAGACTCCTAGCGCCAGCATGGCTCTGGCGCTACTTCGGGCTACCACGTGTCTGGGGACCGTCTTTTGACTCATCCCTCAGAGCAGACTACTACTTCCCTGCCCTCAAAGTCGTTCCGATGGGCTGTTCACTTGCCGTCCGCTTCGCCCAATCGGTGCATTTGGAGATTCTCAGACGTGCTGGCGTTCCGGAAGGAGCTCTGCTGCTCCTCGGTAGCTACTCGTCGCGGCCATTTTCGAGTTCGGTTCTGACGCTGCTACCGTATATTGATGACTTGGTGGTACTGGGGACGTCTGTACATCAGGTTAACAGTCGCCATCGGTCCATTAAGGAACATATGGATGTCAGTGAGTTGCCCGTTCACTTGTTAAAAGACCAGCCGGCAAGCGCCATACGTCCCCTCACTGTGTGCCTCGGTCTCGCTGTACACCAGACGGGTCTGGTATCGCCGAAGCCGCAATATCTACATACGCTTGTCAATGACACCTACGCATTGCTCCAACGCCGCCGGGCTACTCCCCGCGAGATGCAACGTCTGTTGGGACGCTGGGTCTGGCCGCTTCTACTCCGTCGCCCCTTGTTGAGTGCGTTTTCAGATTGCTACCGCCTCGCATCTCTCCTTCGGCCCCACGTTGCTCGCCCCCTTCTCGTGCCTCAAATCGCAGAGCTACAAGTGCTACTTGGACTTACTCCGGTCATTTTCCGCGATTTGACACGTCCTGTTGCGCACCGTCTCTACGCAACAGATGCATCGCCGTGGGGGGCTGGCGTCGTGTACACAGACGAGCCGGTAGGCGGCACTCCGCCTCTCTCACTGTTCCGAGATGCACGAGTCCTCATGGGCTGGTACTCCTTTCCAGAC